GCTCCAGGGTATTATGCAAATGATCTAAGTATATATATTTATGATGAAAAAAGGTGCATCTAGCAAAATGGTTAATTTCATGCCCCTGGGTCAGGGGTATGGGGGGGGGTACATAGTCTAAAAATAAATTAATGTTTTGAAATCTGCTCTTTGGTATTAATCAACCATTTAAGATGAAATAAAATTTATAATTTTAAAAGAGGCATTCTTGCTCATCATAACTATGTATTTAGTTTATTTAATACCCAGGATCGGAGAAGATTTTCAAAGAATTAATGCATTTTCACTATATAATCAAAAGAGCCCCGCCCTAACACCAGAACCCTTGACCCTGGGTCCATAAATTTCACAATTTTGGAAGAGACTCTTGCTCATCACAACTATGTACTTAGTTTATTTAATATCCAGGAGCAAAGAAGATTTTCAAAGAAATAATGCATTTTCACTATATTATCTACATAGCCCCGACCTATCACTAGAACCCCTGACCCTGGGGCCATGAATTTCACAATTCCGGTAGAGGACTCAACGCTCATTACATTCATAGCAACAGTTTGACTGCTTGATGTCCAGGATTAAAGAAGGAGATTTTTAAATACTTAATTAATTTTAGTGGTTTTGCAGGCACGTAGCATTGGGGGGGGGGGGGCTGTCCCCCTTCTTTTTTCCCCAACCTTACTTATACTACAGGAAATGTTCAGTGAAAGGCTGGTTGGCCCCGCACTATTAGTGATGTAATATATACTATAATAATTGGTACTGAAAGTAGTTGGCCTTGAAAAAAGTTGGCCTTTACCCCAATTGGAAATATGTAAAGATTTCCAAAGTGATATAATCCAATATAATCCAATTCGTATTTCGTACTCCCTCACAATTATATAATAACTAAAGTCCTAGCGTACGTATAAACATCAGAAATGCTTACATCATAGTCAAACGGTCTGCTAAACAATAAAGCATCAAAATCATGGAAATGAGCTAAAACTACCAAATTGACATAGTCCAATTCCATAACGTCCGACCTGTCCGACAGCAACTTCTGAAATAAATTTATTAGCTCACCTGAGCTGAAAGCTCAAGTGAGCTTTTCTGATCACATTTTGTCCAGCGTCCGTCTGTCTGTAAACTTCTCACATTTTCATCTTCTCAAGAACCACTGGGCCAATTTCAACCAAACTTGCCACAAAGTATCCTTAGGTGAAGGGGATTCATGTTTGTTCAAATGAAGGGCCACGCCCTCTTCCAAGGGTAGATAATTATGAATTAGTGAAAAAATAATGGCATTTTTAAAAAATCTTCTTCTCAAGAACCACTGGGCCAGGAAAGATGAAACTCATGTGGAATCATCCTCAGGTAGTGTAGATTCAAGTTTGTTCAAATCATGACCCCTGCGGGTAGGGCGGGGCCACAATGGCCGACCAAAGTTTTACATAGAATTACATAGGAAAATTCTTTAAAAATCTTCTTCTCAAGAATAACAAAGCCATGATTGATCATATTTATATGGAAGCATCCTCAGGTAGTGTAGATTCAATTTTGTTCAAATCATGACCCCCGCGGGTAGGGCGGGGCCACAATGGCTGACCAGTTTTACATAGACATATATAGAAAAATTCTTTAAAAATCTTCTTCTCAAGAATAACAATGCCATGATTGATCATATTTATATGGAAGCATCCTCAGGTAGTGTAGATTCAAATTTGTTCAAATCATGACCCCGCGGGTAGGGCGGGGCCACAATGGCTGACCAGTTTTACATTAGACATATATAGGAAAATTCTTTAAAAACCTTCTTCTCAAGAATAACAAAGCCATGATTGATCATATTTATATGGAAGCATCCTCAGGTAGTGTAGATTCAAGTTTGTTCAAATCATGACCCCCGGGGGTAGGGCGGGGCCACAATGGCTGACCAGTTTTACATTAGACATATATAGGAAAATTCTTTAAAAACCTTCTTCTCAAGAATAACAAAGCCATGATTGATCATATTTATATGGAAGCATCCTCAGGTAGTGTAGATTCAAGTTTGTTCAAATCATGACCCCCGGGGGTAGGGCGGGGCCACAATGGCCGACCAAAGTTTTACATAGAATTACATAGGAAAATTCTTTAAAAATCTTCTTCTCAAGAATAACAGAGCCATGATTGATCATATCTATATGGAAGCATCCTCAGGTAGTGTAAATTCAAATTTGTTCAAATCCTGACCCCCGCGGGTAGGGCGGGGCCACAATGACTGACCAGTATATATAGACATATATTGGAAAATTCTTTAAAAATCTTCTTCTCAAGAATAACAATGCCATGATTGATCATATTTATATGGAAGCATACTCAGGTAGTGTAGATTCAAATTTGTTCAAATCATGACCCCGCGGGTAGGGCGGGGCCACAATGGCTGACCAGTTTTACATTAGACATATATAGGAAAATTCTTTAAAAATCTTCTCAAGAATAACAAAGCCATGATTGATCAAATTTATATGAAAGGATCCTCAGGTAGTGTAGATTCAAATTTGTTCAAATCATGACCCCCGGGGGTAGGGCGGGGCCACAATGGCCGACCAAAGTTTTACATAGAATTACATAGGAAAATTCTTTAAAAATCTTCTTCTCAAGAATAACAGAGCCATGATTGATCATATGATTGATCATATTTATATTGAAGCATCCTCAGGTAGTGTAGATTTAAGTTTGTTCAAATCATGACCCCTGGGGGTAGGGCGGGGCAACAATGGGAAAATTCTTTAAAAATCTTCTTCTCAAGAATAACAAAGCCATGCTTAGTCATATTTATATTGAATCATCCTCAGGTAGTGTAGATTCAATTTTGTTCAAATCATGACCCTCGGGGGTTAAGTGGGGCCAAATGGCCGACCAAAGTTTTACATAGAAATACATAGGAAAATTCTTTAAAAATTTTCTTCTCAAGAATAACAAAGCCATGACTGGTCATATTTATTTGGAATCATCCTCAGGTAGTGTAGATTCAAGTTTGTGCAAATCATTCCATCTCTCTCTTTAAGGAATGGTTGGGACTACTTTTTGGTTTAAACTTTTCAGTAATAAACTATTTTCTGCTTTTATGCTAGCCACAGTGCTCAGGTGAGCGATGTGGCCCATGGGCCTCTTGTTTTAACTCCTGCCACACACACGTCATCAGATATGTGACAAGTTGCTTACATCATCGATGATCTACGCGCCCTCGATTTCCACGCCCCATGAAACTGTATATTCAACACTACGAGACATCTATGATGTAAACTTTACTCAGCATGACGGTGTGTTAAGTTGTGTTAAAGCGACGGTGTGTTGTGTAAACTTGCGTTAGCGTGGCGTCGTGTTGTGTGACAGCGAGTTGTGTTAAGAACTTTACACAAGACGCTGTCACACAACTCGCTAACACAACTTTGTACTTTACATCGTGACGGCGTGTTGTATGTTAACGCGACGGCGTGTTTTTATGAACGCGCTGTTGAGCTTTTGCAAATGGCCCTATCTGGACACCATAAAGATTTAACGAATTTAAGGAAACATTTGGCTGATCTGTTGTGTGCTAACTTACATGTAACTGTTGTCATGTTAAAAGTCTTAAATGAACATATATACTGTACTTAAAACGATTCCAACACTTAAAAATAATTTAAATGATAAAAAAAAACCCACAGTAGATATATCTCTCTGTGATTTAAAGGGGATTTCTTTTTAATGTCATCAAAAAAAAAAATGAATCCTAAATTGTTGATAAGCCTGGTAATTCTCAATTAAAGACACATTAAATCTACAGTTCATCAACAATCTGGCAAAAACACGGAATCAGTTCAACGGGAGTTTGATAAAATGCGCATGGCGGACACTGTCAAGGTCAAGCTTGAACAAAGCGAAATAACGCAGATTTTGAAGTTATTTGTGAAATCGTACGAAAAATAGAGCTTTTTGATAAAAATTTTAATATCAGCAAAGAATGTGCATCTCCTGTTTTGTTGCATGTGCTATTATACGAATTTTGAAGATGTAATACCTCACAAATGAATGTTTAATTCAATACATATTTTAAAATCCATAACATTCTAATAATAGAGATCAAGTATTAATTGATAAGAATAAATTATATAACAAATTATTTTTAAATTAACTACATATTTTTAATCAACATTTCATGGGGTTCCAATTATAGGAATTCGAAGCAAGTGAAATAAATTAACATTTTAAAAATTTATTATCAAAAGAGATTTAGTTTCAAAGATTTCAAATTCAGGATTTAAATAAAATATTTAATGACATGTATATATTGACATGGTATAAATGTTGGGTCTTAGATATCTGAATCATATACATGGATTTGTGCTACAAATTAGCATCGAAAGAATCAAGAAATACCTATGTAATCTATATAACGAGATATACTTAATGCAATGTCACAAATGGCCCATTGATCACAACGCTCCCTAGAGTAACCATGGCTTCTCTAACCTCTAAAATATATTTTCAATTATTATCCCCCATCGATATTCCGCTAGGAGATACATTTGTATGACCAAACTTTAATATACTTGCACTTTAATCACAATCGTACTAATTATAGTCCTTGTGTTCTTGTTAAGAGGTTTTATTAGATACTTTTCTATACACATGTATTATGATTCAAAATGTGCCCCCGCACTTCCCTTGGAGGTCTATGATTTGAATAAACCTAATGCTGGAAGCTCCGTCCTAGCTATTCCTGATCATCTGTCCCCGTGGTTAAAAAATGTTGTTTTTTTTTTCTTTTACAACCAAACACCTAGAAAGGGGGTGATCCCCATTTAAAGAAATATTTTCTCCCATTACTCAAAAATACTTTGTGCTAAATTTGGTTTACATTGGCTTAGTGTGAGAAGTAAAAAACGAAGTCTAAAGACAACAGAGATTTTTTGATAAGGAAAGCTTACTTTAACGTCAGCTCAGATGAGCTAAAATGTGAAATAAACTCTGAACTGATATCTGATGACTTTTGTCAGTAAAACTTGCAAAGAAATAATCAAGTAAAGTTAAAACTTAAGAAATAATGTTAAAATAGCGAGGTAGAACAAGATACTTTCAGAACAAAGCTGTGTGCTTCCATCTTTGCCAGTCCCAGCGGACGGTTTATTGGATGATGAACCAATCTCTTGTAGTGTGACACTGCCGACAGCTCTACCGTGCTCATTCTCTGCCTCACAGCTGTACTTTCCAAATGACCGTGCTTCCACTTGTTTAATATCCAGACTCATCATTGTTGTGGTCAAGTTAAGCTCAATATACTGGGGATCATGATTCCAGTCCTTTTTCACGACCTCACCACGTTTAGTCCAGTTGTATCGTCCGTTGGGGAACCGTACAACGATGCATTCTAACCTAACACTCTTACCCTTCTCTGAAATTAACTCGGGGTTGTAAACAGTAATTGTAGGTGCGTGCTCCACGCCAACTTGTAAATTTATTGTACCATTTGGTTCGATTCCATTAAACGCTGTACACCTATACACGCCTGCTTCTTCTCTTCTGATATTAGGTATTTCTAATTGTGGTCCCATATCGAGCCTCATTTCTTGGGTGCATTGTATAAGATGCCATATATATTTAGGAGGTGGGAACCCCTTGGCCTGACAAGTTAGGGTAACATTTTCCCCCTCCTGAACCTTGTGGTCTCCATCTGATTCCGACGGTAAGATTCGCGGTGAATATATCACCTCTAACGTATACGCTTTAATAACCATCTCTCCGACTCGACACTCGTAGGATCCTCCGTCTCCAAGTTTAACGTTTCCAATGACGAGATTCCAGCTCTTGGAATAGGGACGTTCCAGAGTAATTCTTGTTACTTGTGTGTTTTTATGGTTGCCAAAATACAAAATGTCGCCGCCTTTGCCACTCCAGATTACCGTCTCTTCTTCCAATTCCCCTACGAACACATGAACTTTGCCGTGTCTCCTGGTCTCACCTGCTGCAATACAGGCGTGTTGTCAGCCTCCCCATTTATACTCACTATGACACACACCAAGCAGAGAATGATTCTTCTTTGTAACATCTCCAATTTTAGAGCAGAATATAATCACTGATGCAAGAAGTACACGACCAAATACAATTTTAACAAGTATATACTGACAAAACGTCAGAAGTACTCAAGCTCTAGAGAGTCAATTAGGAAGTGTCATTAATATCCTGAAATGGTATAAGAGGAGGGCTACTGAGTTCAATTTTCTGTTAAATAAACTACATGTGCATGAAAACAAAATTCATATATTGAATTTAATTAGAAGAAACATAATTAATCGTTCTACTTTTTAAGATGAATTTACGTGACACACTTTTAGGAATATTTTATAGAGCATATATAAAGTAACGTTGCCGTTTCTTAATTTAATGAAATAATTTTTTTTAATGTAGACATTTAGTATACTTCAAACTATATACGTTTTTGTATTTTTGCTTAATGACGTACATCACATTCAATATATACATCAATCTAAATAGCTTGCTTCAAGTCTGTAGAAAAGTTTTTCTCCAAAAACTCCACGTGACTACGGGTTCATCCATCATTGCAAACCATGGCCAAAATGCACGATCCTCTCCTACTCCGGACCATGGCTTGAGAGGATGGGGTTCACCTAGCTGAGCGGCATGTCCAATACATATTCCGTACGAATCCAGAAGAAATTATTATAATATAGGTTCCGTTACCAAAGCTTAAGATAATACGAGAATTTAACATTGATTTTGCCCTATTATTTTACTGTCACTCAAAGTACACATCATTTGAAGGCCCGTGATAAGCAATTTCAGTTGGGGGGTACAGCCATACATTTTCTGGCCATGCAAAGTAGAATTTGTTAACGATGGGGTAAGCTGCGTTACCTTTCAGAGTCTGCAGTGGACTCGTCCAAGGATGCTTTGTCGGCGACTGTAAAAAGTTACCTGAGATTCCTACGCAAAGGAAAGCGCGAAATCTCTGTATGAAACTGTTGCGGCTGCGGAGCTTCACTCACTGTTCATTCGCCATATAATAGAATCCGATATTTAACACTTAATATCTTTGAATATACAGACGTTTTCAAGATAAGCCTCATTTTTGTTTCTAGAAATATATTTATCTACAAAAATAATATATTTTTGTGTTTTTAAACCGAGTAAATCGATGACCTAGCATCGTTTTAGATAACTCAAGCCCCTCTAGGGCTTGAGTAAAAATATTTTTAATCGGAGAGGGCTACATTATTGCAGCTAATTTTTACTCAGCGCGACGCTGTGGTGTGTAAAGTTGTTTTAGCGCGATGGCGTGTTGTGTAAACTTGCCTTAGCGTAACAGCGTGTTGTGTGACATGCAGCGTGAAGTCGTATTACCGCGTCGCGCTAACACAACTTGACACAACACGCTGTCACACAATTGCAACTTTGCACTTTACATCGTGACGGCGTGTTGTGTGTTAACGCGACGGGGCGTTTTAAGGAACGCGCTGTTGAGCTTTTGCAAATGGCCCTCTCCGGACACCATAAAGATGTACATAGACAACAAATTGACTGATTATTGTGTACTAAATTAACATTAATACTTAAAACGATTCCAATATTTAAAAAATAATTTTAATGGTAAAACACGTAGATATCTCTCTGTGATTTAGATTTTATTTTCCTTTTCATGTCATAAAAATGAATCCTGGATTGTTGATAAGCCTGGTAATTCTTAATTAAAGACAGAGAAACGCACACTATAAATCTACAGTTCAGCAGCAATCTGGCAGATATACGAAATCAGTTCAACGGGAGTCTGATAAAATGCGCATGCCGGACACAGTCAGTTTCACACCTTGTGAACAAAGCGAAATAAACGCAGATATTGAGTTTATTTGTGAAATCATAACAACAAGAATACATGTATAAAGCTTTCTTATAAAAACATTAATATTAGCAAAGAACTTAGATCTCCTGTTTTATTGCATGTGCTAAACGAAGAACATAGAAGCATGTACACAGAATTGCAAAAGAATATTTGAAAAAATATAAGTACGAATTTTAAACATGTTACACCACGCAAATGAATGTTTAATTCAATACATATTTGAAAATTTATAACGTTCTTATGATAGGAATCAAGTATTACTTAATATTAATAAATACTTACATTCAAATAATAAAAATTTATAACAAATTATTATTAAAATTTTCATGAGGTTCTAATTATAAGAAGCAAGTAAAAATAAATTTACACACACCACAAAATTAATTATTGAAAGAGATTTAATTTCAAATTCAGGCTTTTTTAAATGAATTATTCAGTTGCCATGGTGTAAATGAAACTTTAGTCGAAATCTTCCTTTGGGTCTTCGATGTGAAATTGTATAGTTTTATGGACTTTGAGATTGAATACTGTTCGTTATCTCCATATCCTTCTTCATACATTAGATTTATGCTACATATAAGCATAGGAAGAATCAAGAAATACCTAATGTAGTATATAAAACATGATATGCTACATGCAATGTCACAAATGGTCCATTGACCACAACGCTCATTCGAGTAACCATGGCTTATCTGTTTTAGGTCTTATAAGACATTTTTCTATATATTTTGATTTCATTATATGCCCCCCACCACCCTGGAGGTCTTTGATTTGAACATTTAAACCTAAAGCTGGAAGCTCTGACCTAGCTATGCTTTATCGTCTGTCCTTGTGGTAAACGATGAGCTTAAAATGTAAAATAAACCTTGAACAGACATCTTGCGACTTTTTGTCTGTAAAACTTACAAAGAAATAATAAAGAAAAGTTGAAACAAAAGAAACAATGCTAAAATAGGAAGTTTGAACAAGATACTTTCAGAACAAAGCTGTGTGCTCCCATCTATGCCTGTCCCAGCGGACGGTTTATTGGACGATGAACCAATCTCTTTTAGTGTAATACTGCCGACAGCTCTACCAAGCTCATTCTCTGCCTCACAGCTGTACTCTCCAAATGACCGTGCTTCTACTTGTTTAATATCCAGACTCATAACTGTTGTGGTCAAGTTAAGCTCAATATACTGGGGATCATGATTCCAATCCTTTTTCACGACCTCACCACTTTTGGTCCAGTTGTATCGTCCGTTGGGGAACCGTACAACGATGCATTCTAATTTAACACTCTTACCCTTCTCTGAAATTAACTCGGGGTTGTAAACAGTAATTGTAGGTGTGTGCTCCACGCCAACTTGTAAATTTATTGTACCATTTGGTTCGATTCCATTAAACGCTGTACACCTATACACGCCTGCTTCTTCTCTTCTGATATTAGGTATTTCTAATTGTGGTCCCATATCGAGCCTCATTTCTTGGGTGCCTTGTATAAGATGCCATATATATTTAGGAGGTGGAAACCCCTTGGCCTGACATGTTAAGATAACATTTTCCCCCTCCTGAACCTTGTGGTCTCCATCTGATTCCGACGGTAAGATTCGCGGTGAATATATCACCTCTAACGTATACGCTTTAATAACCACCTGTCCGACTTTGCACGTGTATGATCCTCCGTCTCCAAGTTTAACGTTTCCAATGACGAGATTCCAGCTTTTGGAATAGGGACGTTCCAGAGTAATTCTTGTTTCTTGTGTAGTTTTATGGTCGCCAAAATACAAAATGTCGCCGCCTTTGCCACTCCAGATTACCGCCTCTTCTCCCAGTTCCCCTACAGAACACATTAACTTTGCCGTGTCTCCTGGTCTCACCTGCTGCAATATAGGCGTGTTGTCAGTCTCCCCATTTATACTCACTATGACACACACCAAGCAGAGTAGGATTCTTCTTTGTAACATCTTCAATTTTAGAGCAGAATATAATCACTGATGCAAGAAGTACACGACCAAATACAATTTAAAACATTCCTTCTGTACACGTTTCACTGCAAGCACTCCGAACTGTAGTCATTCCTAAATTGCCAGAGCACGGAATTATCAGTTGTCTCACAGGCATTTTCCCTTTCTCTCAAATGCTTTAGTTGTTTTGGGTATGTGATGAATTTTCACTTTTAATAACGAAATATTTGGAAATAACGAACTGTATTCAAGCTAAGTATTTAATAAAATCGACACAAGAAAACAACCATGAAAAAAGTTTAGCATATATATATTGCAATTTTACTGAATAAAGTTCTTCGATGCATGCCTGCATTATACGTGATGATAACATGTATAACTGAAATTGACATTTACCATACTGCACTTGTTACTGCTCACTCGGCTGTTATCGTTTGGAGCAATGTATGTATATCGTACACAAGCTGACAGATACGCCAATGATGCCAGGGTGAAAAATAGTGGCTTGTGTTTTTCGCAATAATAGAATTTCTGTATACATCCAAGCAAGTAACAGATATCTGGTCAATTTATCAGGCAAGCGTTTTAAAACAAATGTGATCGCAATTTGAAATTCCTTTGTACTTTTATAACATGTAATCGGTGTTCGGAGTGGTGTGTTTTATTGTAAAGCAAATGCGTTTTGATGTTATTTTTAATCCAGGTACGATTTAATTGTAACACACTAAGTGTAAATCACCTTTTAATCACGAGAAATTAATTTACTTAAACGTACTTATTTTATTTTTCTGCGCAAAAATATTCTCGCGTTCATTTTTGCTAGCATTGTTGGCCTGAATTCGTCAAAATGTTATGTTGCATACCTCGCAAAAATACGATATCGCGAAAAATGTGGTTATTTTTAGTATTTGCTGGTTGTTGGAACTAAAAATTCCAAAAATGTTATTTACAAATACATATTACAGTGTCCCTTGCGCGCATAAATTCTGCGAAGTCAACATTTTTGAATGTCAAGCAATTGACTGTTGCTACGCCGGGGGCGTGGCTTCATTATTCAGAGGGTAATAGTGTTTATTAACAAATGTTTCTCGACGAATCGGATTCAACCAATTTACATGAAAGTATTATATTACTTGATATCGCGATTACTTTACTTAGTGGAACTCTTTCGCGGTGGAGATAGAAAACGTACTTTGGATGAGGGCAAAGTGCTATCGTTCTTCGGATACATTGCAAGATCGATCATTGTGGAATTGTTAAGGACAGCTAAAAAGGTAATCCTAATGAAATGTTTTGCTAAACATTCTCTGAATCAGCCTAATAAAACTTTGAAACGAGCTGGTCCTCGTATGTTACATTTTTAACGATACTTTTCACGAAGCATACTCTTCTCATTAAATTCTCGTTGAAAATCGTTACTTTTGAAAGCTGATAAAATTTTTGTAATAGTAAGATCATATGAAGAGAAATCTTCGTCATGAAGAATTTCTCTTCATATGATCCTACTGACTTAGAACAGAACCTCAGCCAATTAAATGAATGGATTAAAAATAAACTCCCACGGCTGTGTCATATATAAGGCTCAGCTTGACCGTTCGTTGTATATATCGAGAACGCAATTAATATCTAACACACGCGGTTTCAGAATGGACTCCCAACCCCTTTAGGTTAGCACGGGATTATATGAAATCATGCATGTAGCAACAGGGGTGGGGAGGGGGGACTGGCCCCGCTACTTTGTTTCCCAACATTACCTTTACTATTAAAAATGTCCATTGAAAGGTTGGTCCCCCCCTCAAAGCCATCTTTTTATCACACTAAAGTGATACCAAGAAAATGTATTTATGTGCCAAAAAAATGGAATTCAAAGGAAGTTGCCCCCCCCCCCTTCCACGAAATAGGATGTTCGAGTTTGGGCAATTTCCTTTTTTTTTTTGCTTGTCAACTTTTACAGGTAAGTAAAAAAAAATTTTTTCTCTGGTTGCCCCCCCCCCCACTTTCAAAAACGATGCTACGTGCCTGGAAATAGCTTGATTTACTGGGTAAATGGTATGGTGAAGATATTAAAGTTACTGAACTAATGAATATCCATGTAACGAAAATCGTAATATGTATACTTTTGAAAAAAAAATGATTGTGTTAAGATGACAAAGCCCTAGACAGCAGGATTGGGTATGACTGTCTAATATCAAATAAAAATTTGATGAAAATTGTAATTAAATCTGTCTTCAAAGACAAGGTTCGTCTCTGATATACATGACGATGTTTGTTTTTTTTCTGTATGTACCGAAATGTGAAAAAAATAATATTCAAAAAGGCGACAAAAGATTACAGTTGGAAAACAAGAGGCCCATGGACCACAGCGCTCACCTGAGCACATCAGCTTGGAAAAAGCACATATCAGATCAGAACTGAAAGTTTTATAAGGTTGGGGAGGGGAGGGGCTTGAATTTTAACCCCCCCCCCCCCCCAGGGGATCATGATTTGGACAAACTTGAAATCTACACTTCCTGAGGATAATTCCATATAAATATTACTAATCATGGCTTTGAAGTACTTGAAAAGAAGATTTTAAAAGGTTTCCCTATATATTCCTATAAGAAAATTTGGTCGACCATTTTGGCCCCACCCTACCCCCAGGGGTCATGATTTGAAAAAACTTGAATCTACACTACCTGAGGATAATTCCACGAGTTTCATCTTTCCTGCCCCTGTGGTTCTTGAGAAGAAGATTTTTTTTAAAATGCCATTAATTTTTCTCTTATTCATAATTATCTCCCCTTGGAAAAGGGCGTGGCCCTTCATTTGAACAAACTTGAATGCCCTATACCTAAGGATACTTTGTAGCAAGTTTGGTTGAAATTGGCCCAGTGGTTCTTGAGAAGAAGATGAAAATGTGAAAAATTAACGACAACGACAGACAACGGACAAATTTTGATCAGAAAATCTCACTTGAGCCTTCAGCTCAGGTGAGCTAAAAAGTGTAGCAAGGCTTAGAAAGTTTAAATATCATTGTAAACAGCACGTGGGTTTTGAATAGTTTCTTTTTGTGTGTTGATTGACAATCTACTGAATCCTTGGCAGTACATTGTACTTTCGGTATGAAACTTACTTAAATCATTCGATTGTCACTACTGTAAACAATAAGTGCGTTCCGAGTTTCACCATTGGAAACTTCTGTTACACTTTTCTACATTAGTAACAAATTGTTAACTTTGGTAACAAATGTTTATTATTGTTGGCTTTTAATCAACTTCAACATTAAGACGTAGGTCACCTATCTGTCCGACAAACAAGACTGTAGGTAGGATGGGTTAATAAGGTCATACAAAAAGTGAAAATAGCGGGCGAATCCGTGTTTGGGGTGTGTGAGGATATGTTTTCTTTTAATTTGAACGTAAATGGTGTGCAAAGAAATTTTATGTTAAAGCAGTCAACAATTACAACTTCATATCTGACTGTAAGTACATTATTTTAAACATTCTCCGCGATCCAAGCTCGTTCAGGGAGGAGAAAGCCAGATGCAACAGAATACAGAAATGTAGTATTCTAAAACAAACAGAATGACTAAAGATTCTTCCATTTTTAGATTATAACTTCGTGAAGGCCCTTCAAAATTATGTAGACGAAAATGAGGAGATGGACGTCGCGGAAGTCTATTACAATATTTATATACGTTGAGTAGTTTACAACGAAGTATTTAACACCTTGCAAGCCTGATCTAACCCAAGGTCAAGATGAACTAGTGGAGGGAAAGATAAGGAAGACGTAGCGAAAATAGTAGTGCATCAAGAAGTGGTGAGATCTCCTCTAGTGTTGCCAATTCCAACGAAGATACTCATGACAACTACATACAAGACAACGATTCAGATGATGACGATCCGGAGACAAAAGGAAGACTTCAAAAGGGGGGCTTTATGAAAGCAAGAAACTTCTGTCAATTTATAATGGAAACATGAAAATGATGCAGGCTATAAGGAACAAGGAAAGAGTATGGGACACAATTTCTGTTTCCTTAATGGGTGGTCATACAATACAATTTTTCATTCGTTTTTTCAGTCGATTTGCTTTCGAGTACAATCGTACCATGGGTCGAAAGCAAAACCTGAAAGTCGATTAAAAATCAATGCCATGTTGTGTGGTGCTGCTGCCTTTTGCAGTTTTATGCCACCACTTATAAATTAATTCAAGTGATATGTACATCAGGTTCAAGTTGGCTTTGAATGGCTAAACCACTCTCGTTTTCTTCAGAATCAGACGGGATATACAAGGCCACAGCAGCTGTCTGGCTTTCTTTTAACACTTTGTAATTGTTCTTTTCTATTGCTTTCTGAACCATTGATCTTGATTTCAGTGGAAGATATCCAGAATCATCACATCGGGGGTTTTGCGTGTTTGATCTGATTGATTGTATGATGTTTAACGTCCTTCTCAGGAATTTTTCACTCATATGGAGACGCCACCACTTGCCGATGGAGAGCTACAAATTTTTTCCTATACTCGGCACTTAGGGCCATTGAGCAAGGAGGGATCTTTTTCATGCCAGCACCTACTGCTACCTTGAGCATTGACTTGCGTATCGAATCGACTAGGAGACGAAAACACTCCATTTGCAGATGATTATGCTTTATTGTTACCATACATGTGATGTTATTTAGATGTCTGACAAAACTGGCGAGGAAGAGATTTTAATACACAAGGGATAGGAATGAAATTTAACGGTTTTCTAGTATAATGAAAGTCATTTACACACCACTCCAACACTGTTCATGGATTTAAGGATTTATTGACAGACTTTCCCTTAATTTCCCGATCATGACAACGAGCACACGATGGCCCGGATGTGACTGGTCGGCAGGGGATGTTCACTCCTTCATGGCATCTGATCCCACCTCTCATGTTTTTAGAGGTCTGTGTTTGCTCTGCTTGTAATGTCTAATGGACTTTTGAGCTTGAATACTGTTCGTTATCTCCATATATTTCATGTTAAGAATCATGTATCATATTTCTGTCTTTTGTTTTTTCAACCTGACCATAAACTGTAGGAAGAATTTTGTTTTGAAAGCATAAAAAACAATGGCGTACCGTCATTAAACGAGCGTATATTCTTTCTTAGGCTTTTGATTAGAGTAGCATTCGTCACACATTGCTTTTTTACTGTTGTTCAGCAAAGTTTAAATGGTTAACATTTCAGCGGTATACATATGAAGTTAAACACAGAATGATGACTTGTCCAGAATCATAGGTATTAAGTTTCAACTTGTTCATGGTACTCCAATCCTCAGCCAGGAAGGATAACTCTTAATTTATAATTCAATTTAAAAAGTCTCCAAATTAAGTTTGAAAATTAAATCTTTTCATGCAACAATTTTCATTTTAAACCTCT